AAAAAACGGTTGGTTGTATCATTGTGCAAACTGTAGATACTTTGCCCACATTAAATGTGCCTTAAACGCAGAGCAACCTTCCATTCCAAGGTCAAACTTTTTCTTTTTCTTTTCTGATTTTTGTTTTTACTTTTATGTGAATGTTTCTTCTAAATTGAATATATCATTTCAGCAATGCTCCAGATACTTATACTGCTGAAGAACGCAAAAACGATTTTATGCAATTTCCCATGTCACATGCATTCACAGATCCACTAAAGTTTCTTCATTCGGAGAAGGTATCTTTAGACGATGATGGTGCAATAGAAATTAGCCATTGGAGTCATGGTCATCCATTGAAYCTTAGCGTTGAACCTCRAGGTRACAACATGCCCGAMATTAATTGTGATGATCCAATAGAGGYATGTWATGGATGTGKACGACCCCTCTCCCTTCCATAYTAYAMTTGCAAAGATGGATGTTCATTTACCCTCCACAAATATTGTGCCGAATTACCGCTCACATTAGAACATCATCTTCACCCAGATCATCCACTTGATTTGGTAGACACCAGTGAAGATGAGTACTTTTATAGATGCAATGGTTGTTTTAGCCAATGCAACAATTTTGTCTACAAATGTATAACTTGCAAGTTCTACTTGGATGTGAATTGTGGATTTTTACCCAACACCATCATACATAAATCTCACAAACATCCTCTTACCCAAGTCATGGATCCCWACCAASSTTGTAAGGCATGTRACARAAYATHTACKGGTATAAGTTTTGCTTGCAAAGCTTGTAATTTCCAACTAGACATGTATTGTGCAATACGGTCTCCTCAGTTACTTACTCATAGGTATTGCAAAGGACATGAAATCCCATTGACGTATCCCCCGGTCGAAGGTCATCCCGAAGATTTCTATTGTGATATATGTGAGGAGGAAATGCACCCCAAGCGTCTTCTCTATCATTGTTACAAATGCAAAAATTCATTTCACCTACATTGCATTAATGAAATTGATTTGTATGCGAATGTCGTCGGGTGGGAGAAGACTATAATCAAGTCTTCTCGTCACAAACATCCATTAATGTTTGTTCGAAGAAAAACATGTGAGTATGTGTGTCCTTTTTGTAATCTTGATATTAATGGTGGTTTGATGCTTGAGTGTCAGATCGAAACATGTCCTTTTAGAATTTGCTATTCTTGTTATTAAAATATCAAAAAGTCTCGTTTTCGTATCTATGCAGCATGATTGTAAAGTACATGGAATGACTACTCATGTTTGTTCAAGGGTGTAATTTGTTACATATGTTTTAACTTTACAATAATTGCAACTTGTCCTGTGGCACTTGTTGGGTTGGGTCCATAAAGATGTAACAATGTAAATTATATGCAATGGCTATTAAGCT